GTGTTTCAGCCAAAAGTCCAACCAGGCCAAATTCCAACCAGGCCATAGCTCGCTACTTTGCCAAAGCAGTCAAAGTCATTTCAGTTATAAGAATAAAGATCCCCAAAGCAGTTTAATTTGTGGTACAGGAGGCCTGCTGTATTTCCGGCTTAGTAACTGCACTTCATTGGTGAACGAAATGACTCTATGTTAAGCCTGTTACCAGCTACAGGCTCTTTTTAACAACTCTGTACAGATTTGTGTGTAAAGCATGACAACATTGTTTTCTTACTGGGGGAAAACTTGAATGATATTTATGTAAAAGACTAGCCCATATGACACTAGCAGAATTTTCAGCCAGGGCAGTTAGACTATTACAATCCTTAGCCAACAGCAAGGGGGATGGTGTCCCTCCAAATCGTTAATTTTTTGATTTAAATTGAAATTAAAGGGACAGATGAATTGCAGTTTTTCAGCAATAGCATTAATCACTAAACCTGTACCAGACAGTAACATTCCTGTTGAGAAGGACATGGACTGTTAAAGTGAGAAAGTTCTATTCGTTACTGTACCCCAGAGCAATCTGAGCATGCAACGAAAAAAAAAAAAACCAAAAAACCAAACAAAACAGTGAAAAGAAAATATTACTCAGACATGAAGCGTACATCCACCTGCCTAATGCTAGCTAGCACCTGTGAATACAATGCACACAATAAACTACACAGCATAGAGTGAAAGGGTTGATTTTACAAGGAAAAAGGAGATATTACACCCTTTGCCAGTTACCGAAATCAATGACTAGAGCAAGGTTATAGAGACTCAGACAATTATAGTTTCAGACACTATAGGTTATCTTTTCAGACAGTATAACCTCAAATGTTTCCTCTAGAGTTTGTACAGCTCTAAGCACTTCATCAACACAATTTAAATAATGACAATAACGTACCAGTATTGTTTTTTAAGAATGTGATAAAACTTGAATAGTCCTTTATGTTTCTGCTGCAAGAGGGAACAAGAAGGTTTAGAAACGCAATTCACAACTATAATGTTGGTTCATGGAACCACAAGCTACCCAAAAGATTTAGGGTGGTTCTTGATTCACGATAACTCTTGAGTTTGATATCCTGGCTGACTGCATACACACACACACACACGCAGCCAAAAAAGCAAAACATAACACAAAAGAAAAACCCCAGAAAGCATGCTTTCATCCTTCTCAGTTAGGAAATTAGATTTGTGCACAAGTCTACTAAAAGTCTATAACAGTAAATAAAGCATAACAAAGAAAACTTCAAGCTAGCTGTACAAAACTGTTTTGTAAGCTGACAATGTTTATATGTTTTCTGATCAGTCCCTGTGCCCTCACCAACAGAGGCACAGACACAGCCATGACTTCCATCTTCTTTGGAAATGGGTTAGAAGCACTTTGTAATATTAAGAAATATTTATGGTGCCCTCCTGTATCTTAGGAAAATGTTGACCTAAAGCATTAAGTGCATTTTGGGAACAGGGATTTACTTTGTATTGATCCTTTGTAAAATATTTGGGCTTACTATCAGATCTCCTCAAATAAGCTGTTCAAGCATTAAAGAACTAACTCAACTTTGAAATATATTCCCTCCCACTCAAAAGACTGAAAAACAAGAACAAATTCCACATTCTGAGTTTTTATGGAACTTATTAGTGTCTTCCTCCGATCACAAGCAGTTTCTTCAGTGAAAATACAACTTTCCAAAAGATAAAATATTTGTCATAGATTTATAGATATCAATACCTTTTGCTTCACATAGTCACTTAAAATATAGACCTTCTGGTTACTGCTGAATATGGGGAAGAACAAGAGTTTTCTCATCTCAAGAGCTACATTTTCAGGCCAGGAATGTTACAAAACTGAACTCCAGCCAGCCTTCCCCCAAACACCCATTTTCCTTTTACCACAAAAGCTTCATAAGCAGGTAGTTGAGATACATGAACAGAACAACTCTGTATGAGGAACAACCCAAGCAGATCAGGATTTCTTTGGTGAGAAAAGAGATAGTAGGGCAGGGTGGGAGATTTGAAATCACATGAAACATAAAAGGAAGGGTCAACTCCTATGAATGTCACAGTGTAAGATCTGAGGAGCATCAAGTGAAACTTCAGGGGAAACACTAACCACAGAAATTGTAACTGACTACACACATGTAATTCACCTCTGGAACTTCTTGCTGCAAGGCCCTGTGGGTGCTCGTAGCTTACAGAAGTTCACAAACCAAGTAGATAAATCAACATGGCTCAGGAAGGCTCTGAACCACAAACAGTGGATAGGGACGATTCTGAAGACCACCACTATGTGCCTGCCCTCTTCCTATACTCACCCCAGGTATCCACCACCACTTCAGATTATCAGCAACAGACCAAGGCAACAATTTTATTTTTATTTTTTAATTAGGTCAAAAGAAAATGGCTTGTCACAGTTAACCTTACAGCTGCACAATGCGTGTCTGAGAGTGCAAACACTACCCAGAATATCCAAGTGACTTTTAAAAGACTTTTATGGATATTCCACTCTCAAAGGATGCTGGACAAGATCAATGGACGCCAACCGAGATCATTATGTATGACTTACCTTGCCCATTTCCTTCCCTTTCTGCCTTTGAGGCTCTTTTAGTGCACTGAATGTCTTTCTGGGGAATTTCATTTAATATCTTGGCAGCATACTCAATTCTTCCTGTCAGATCCTTGAGGCAGTCCTATAAATAAAGGGCAGAATGCTTTATTACTAGAGTCAGCAAAAGAATTGTGCACAATGATGTCCTTACTCATACCACAACGTTATTAAAATGTGCATACTGTTTCTGTGGTTCAGAGGCAAAGGGAGTCAAGCAATTGTAACTTAATGGCTTCAGTTCTCTCTTCTCCTAGAAATATGTGTAACACTTTGTATTTTGAATTCTGCTCCACATGAGCTGCCATCTCTGCCTCCTCTATTTCTGTTCACTCACACAGGCCCACATCTCACTGCTCTTGCATGAATGAACACATACTTCATTTGTGTTTAGTACTGATACGCAATTACTATCAACCGCAAACTGTGCACTTCAAGTTTTAACAAATGGCAGACTGCTAGGACAAACAGTGCTATATTAAGGTTAGAGCTCAGGACTCCTAACTGACCTTTGTATTTCCAGCTGCCTCTAACATGCAAGAGACCTGGAAGAAGTCACATACAGTCCCCACTCCACATCCACTGAAACTCCTACAGCCTGTTGCTGCAGAACAGTGGCCTCAAAACTTTGATGGAAAGTAAAATAGGAAGCAAGTTATTGCTAAATGTACTAATTTAAAACTAGCCTACTTCAAAAAGACTTCAAAGTACTTGCTAGTGTTACAGAACAATCCATTCAGGGATGACTTACAAACACACATTGCAGCCAGGCTCATGATTTTATCATGATGCTCATCCTATTTGTGTGCACTATACCCTCGGGCTTACATGATAAAGAAGAATAATAGTATTTACTTTCTTAAAAAAGATTTGTCTAACATCAGGAAAGCACTAAAACAGGACCAAACCCAACCATTTCACTCGTCAGGAACTGTAGTCCTACAAACACTAACATCAAAAACTTAACCAGTTCTGAAGTGGCAAAGTTGCTTAATGTATTTCCAGCGTGACTCTCCCCAAGCATTAAAAGTACTTTCATTTTGCTGTTTTAAGTGATTAAATAGTTTTTATTAAAAACTTAAAACTTGATGTTGCCTGATAACAGATCTGCAAGAAAACAAAGTCCAAAAAGCATCAGCAGCATCTTACTTGGGTGCAGCACTTTCAAGGCAAACACATTTACCCTACGAGCAGCTATTCACCTTTTTAAGTAAACAGTATATATTGATCTACCTGGGGGGGTAGCTAGAAGCAAAAGTATCCTCAACACTGATGAGGGGCATTATATTAAGAAATTAATTTCAAAATATTTTATATTTATTTAAGGCTTATAAAACTTTAATAAAACATTATGTCTTGACAGTGATACCATGGAGCAAATGCTCCATTATCAATCATTAGCAGCCTCTTCTGGGAGAGAGAGAAGGAAAGAAGACATGCTCCACTTGAGTGAGATTTTATGAAGTGAATCCTTGCTACAGGGGAATGCGCCTATTGCCAGATTTGGTTCAATTTTATGACAGAGCAACACACATTTCATCCAAAGTGCAGCCTTCTAGAATGGGCAGAAATTCCACTGGATCACCTCCTTACAGAAAATACCCAGAAAGGGATGAACTATCACTATATACATAAAGACAGCCTGCACCACCTCTTTCTTTCTCCTTACTCCTGTCCTCATCAAAATTGTTAAACTGATGCCCTACTACAGAATTTTATGGGAGAAAACCAAGATTCAACTGGCAATAAGTCCCACATCACTAACTAGAATATCTATTTCTGAACGTGGACTTTGGGAAGACCCATTTAACTGTTGGGCTCATTTCTTGGGCGGGGGCACGGCTGGATATCAATGCTGACAACTGGAGTTCTGCAGTTGCTGCCTGTTCAGCTTCTGCTTGTAGTGACTCTTAACCGTGGAGTAGTGGAGAGAGGTTAGAATGATGCCTGCAAGCAGTTGGCGCTAATTGCTGTAAGGGGCCTCAGACAAGAACGAACCCAAGGACATAATTTTTGCAACTGTGATGGGTACATCCGGGACAGGGCAGAGAAACCAACAGACACCTGTGAGAGCCAAAGATAAGAAAGCCGAGAAACTTTACAGACAGAGCTATAAGCCAAGACCTTGTATGAAAAAAGGCTCAGAGTTCATGGAAAGGACACTAAAGTACCCTCTTCAGAAACCACTTGGGACCACCACAGACCACTGAAACCCCCCATGGAAGCCCCTCAGAGACCCTTCCCCAAATTTTAGTATGCTTGTGCAATGTATTAACATATGCATTAGATCCTCTGGAAATAGATCTGTACTTCTCATAAATTACATGAATAGTCATTTATTGTAGATAATGTGTTCTTTTGTCTTTCAGCATGCACATTAGGTGGAACAATCCCCCATGCATCCAGCACTGCAATAAAGAATGCCTGCCTTTAAAACTTCAAACTAAGTCTCAGAGGGTTCTTTTGAGACCGATTTTAGTATAGTTGCACCTCTTAGGCTGAAATGACTCAGTTCCATATACCTTGCACACAATGAGGCCATGAAAGATAGAATATTAGTAAGACTTTCACTTTGGTTCACTCCAGTACTACAGTTACCAGTAAACTCCTACTGAAAATCTAACAATTAAAACTTATTTCTGAAATCCAATATGAAAGTAAACTTCCTCTCTTATTAAAATGCTCACAGAAGGAAGAACAAAGGTGTCAAATAGTAAAAACATTTTTGGTCTATGGTCTTCAGCATGATCCACTGTTTACTCAAACTCATTCTGTTCAGATCAGTCATTGACTTTCTCAGTACACACGCAGTACAATATTAAAATCCCGAATTTTTAATAGTAGGTTTCCATGAGGTCTTCAGTTTTAACAGACCTTCGTTAAAGTGTAGCGACATATTTCAAGTGGACTTCACTTATACACAGGGGCAGTTTTTGTCACACAGAGCCATAGGGAACACTAACAGTAAGCACTATGACCAGTAATAGGATTTCATCAATACTAATGACAGAATCAAAAGAATTTGTGATTATTTCAGTAATACAAATAGCAGCTGACATCCATTAACACAAATCAAAATGTGGGAAAATAAAAAGCACCATTTACACATGGTTTCTAATTATTACAAGCCACAGAGTAAACCTGCATAAAGTGACATCATTATTTGAACTACATCCAGATTAGTTTCATGTCTCATATGTAACTCTTGGCAAAAAAGGATTTAACTGTATACTTCAGAGAAAAAGAAAGATCTTTTCACCAGATATCTGTTGACAGCACATGGAAACTCTGATTTCCATTTATCTTTACAACAGCTATAGAAAGAGTGCCTAAGGACTCAAGAAAAAAAGTTTGTAAAATTACTTCGTTAGATTTGTCTGAAAAGACAAAAAGTAACATGGATGCATCAAAATAAATTATGCATCAAAGCCAATTCAAAGATTAATTTAGCAACTGTCAAATGCAACTATTAAACATGAAAAAGTAGGATGTTTGCACAGTTCTAACATTTTTTTATTATATATACACAATTCATATATATATATATATATATATATATATATATACACATATATGGTTTCATAGTCAAGAATTAAACCAGCAGTGTGGGGTGGGCTGCCTTTCAGACACATTAAGTAAAAGAGAAAACCATTTAAAATCATATGCATGTATTTTTAAACACAAGCATGCAATAATATTCCTCAGTGCCTTTGAACAGGTATCAATGTCAAACTCAGGGCTGGAATGTCATCACTGCTGGCAGGGAACTACTGCGAGGACACTCATGTATGCAGTGGTCCCACTGACACCATCAGGTGTTGTTTATGCATGATCCAAGTCTAGATGTCAAGGCAAAACAGAAGGAGTCAGCAGGGAATATACCACAGAAGAAAGGGGTAAGAAGAGAAGGATGAGCAACACAGATACCAATGAAAAGGAAAACAATTTTTCCCTTCTCTTTCAAAGGGGATGTTAAACACAAATGTAGATTCCGCTGTAAACAGGAATGATCTTGACATGAAAGAGCTGACAGTTAGGCCTTAAACACACTCAAGAGAAACTTAAAATCAGACACACTTTCCTACAATAGATTCTCAAAAAATCAAATCTTAACTCCTGTGTTAAAATAAATTTTGCCATATTCTGCTAAAACATGGGCCCTTTTTGCAAGAGCAAGCCAACAGAAAAATATACATTTAAATACTTCCCATTTTTTTAAAATGAGCTTACCTGCACATTTTTACTTTCAAAAATCTGTATCCATTTTTGATTTGAACCATAGAACAGCTTTAAAAAGAAAAGTAACTTCTTAAAAACAACTAGGTATCTCTGAGAGCTAGTTGAATACTTTCTCAGAGGCTTATTCTTTCACTTCAAAAAGCAACTAAACCCATGGTGCCAAAGCATTCTCTGATTTTTGGACTAGATGCATCAACATGAAAAGTAGTTCAGCTGCCAGGGAATCAGACTGCATTTCAGGAGAGCTGGATTCCAACCTCTTATTTTCCCTAGACTTGGTTTCCCAAGGGAGCTACAATAAATTACTTGATTTCTCCTGGTTTTAGCTTCCCATACGTAGATTTTAAAAAAAAAAAAAAAAAAAAAAAAAAAGTTTATTTCTTTGCTTCCCTTCTGTAGTTGCTGATTTGGATTTCAAGGTGTGCAGATTTTAAAACTATATTTGTGGAGCACTCTAGGATCCTGATCCTGTTTGATTCCCATTGATATATGCTAATAATTAAGTATATTGTGATGGTTTGACTGACTAAATGCCAGGTATCCACCAAGTCGCTCTATCACTTTCCCCGCCCCCCCTTTTCCCCTTGTTTTCTCAATAGGGTAAAGAGGGGAAAGAAGATAAACTAACCCTTGTGGGTGAAACAAAAGCAGTTTTAATATAAGCAAGGCAAAGCAAAAGTCCGCGCGCGGAAGCAAAAGCAAACAGATTTAGTCTCTACTTCCCATGGACAGGCGATGTCGGGCCTTCTCAGGAAGCAGGGCTCCAATACACGTAGTGGTTGCTTCGGAGGACCAAGGGTGACCCCCACCCCCTTCCTCCTTTCTCCCAGCTTTATACTGAGCAAACGTCATATGGTATGGAATATCCCTTTGGTCGGTTTGGGTCAGCTGTCCTGGCTGTGTCCCCTCCCAAGATCTTGCCCACCCCGTCCCACTGGGGGAAATATCAGAAAAAGCCTTGGTGCTGTGTAAGCGCTGCTCAGCAGCAGCCACAACACCAGGGTGCTATCAACACCCTGCCAGCTCCCGACATAAAACACAGCACCGTGAGGGCTGCTGTAGGGGAAAACCAATTCCAGTTCAGCCAGACCCAGTACATATATAAAAAGCCTTACTAGTTAAAACTATTAGACATACATCTGGGTTTAGACCTGCAACAGTTACCAGCACTGTTTAGATCTCGGTGCAAAAAACCCAAGAGTTTGGGGTGGTGAGAAATGGCATACTATAGCTACAACAACAGATCAGACTGCAGACACAGCATTTGTAGGATACAGAACAAGGAAGAAGAGTGCTAGACCTTCTATGGAAAGGTTACAAAATTGTTTAACCATAAATTACTCCAAACAATAAATATATATTCAGTGATCTAGTGGTGTACACTGCTTAAATTTTCCATGAAAATTCAAGTCACAAGATTGCTGTAAACATCCTTCACTCTTAGGTAAAACACCACAATACATTAACTTGACTAATCTCCCCTTACCAAGACCACATTAACCTTTCATAATTACGAGATATGCATCGACAAACATCAGAGACAGAACTAGCCTCAGTGCAGGACACACGTTCATTGGAATCAAACTAGATAAAAGTACTATCAGCCATTAAATCTGGACAGAGAACAAGTGGTTGAATTATTTGTGCAAAACCAGTGCCATCTTGGGACACTGTCAGCTCCCCCTTTACTAAAATTCACAAGAGTCCTCATTAAAGAGATGAAGGTGCATTAAATGAAGGCAGAAATTAGAGCTAATTTTAAATATGCACTGGTTTAACAGAACCTTGTAATCTACTCAGGTGCATTACACTTGTGATTTCCTTAATGTTTCTTTAATGATTTTGGAAGGTAATTCTCTGTTGCATTGCAAACCAGTTTTGTTCAGACACATTCAAGTTTTCCCACAGTGGAGTAAGCAAGTTATCAAGAGAACTAATTAGCTTGACCTTCTGTTTGCCCAGTAATGAGAAATGCATCAAACAGGTCTCTCTTTTCATGTCTGACTCTGTCAATTAAAGCTCAGGCTTTCTATTCATTGCATTGTCCTCAGGAATATTTACCACAAGCACAGCCAATATAAGCAATACCCTACCCACTCACCTCTTCACACTACCAGGTAATAGCTTTAAATTTTTCTTTAGTGGAGGAAAACAACAGCCATAAATGAAACTTCCTTTGCAGAAGCCAAATAAAATCGTTCTGATTTCAGAGTTCCTTAGGCAAATTAAAAGCTACAGACTCAAACACTAAATGGCCCCACAAGAAAGAACCACTCTCCTAAGACTAACCATAACCTGATTTATTAGGAAATTCAGGAATTGCTACATTTGAGTAAATTACAGATCCTGATTTCTCTGGCACTCTAATAGCTCATTTTTGTAAATATAAGCCCTTAGCTCATACATTCAACCTCCTTTTACAAATAAAGCAAGTCAGAAGGTAAACCATCAAACCATCAAAATCAAAGGCAAAGACCTGAAGACTAACAGGAGCAGGGACTCTAATGTAAATTATCCCTCATGTTACTCAGAGAAGCTCATAACAGTCAAGGTTACAGGGAATGAATTGAGGAAGGTTATTATGGATAAGGTGTTGTCTGCCTTTTTTCTATTTTAAGATCGCGCAAAAGTCACATATATGAAATTCCAGCAATTTTTGCAAGACCCCTATAAGATCATAGAAAATGGATTTTAAGACCTAATATAAAGACTTCACCTTTCCATTCCACAGCCTCAGATCTATACATTCATGACATCTTCCAGACATACTTTTACAAACAAACCCAACAGACCTTGACAGTTCCTCTGCTTAAGGAAATTTCTAGGTCTTCTGGATTCAAAATTCTCTACCAATTTCATGCTGAGTATGCAAAACACTCCGGTTTTGCAGTCCTGATTATTTCCTTCATAAGTGTGCAGTTGAACTGCAGAGAAGCCAAGGACCAGCTCTTGCAAAGACAGCTTGTTTCTTGCAATGAAGAGCACCACAGATACCCAACCCATTTTCACCAGTGACATTCATCATGTGAATGAGGCTCTTAAGCTCACCGAGTGCTCCATGGAGAAAGTCAGCACCTCCAGTGGTGTTCACAGCAACCCTCACGCTGAGCCAAATGCCATCTAAATTGCCTTTATCAGAAGGACGTGTGTCTTGCTTTTCCTGCAGGAGTCCATATTTCTCTTTTAGAGTTCCCGCATCTGACAACATCTTTGTGACTTGTCCACTTGAAGATCTTTCTGCTGAAGACCAGTCAGCTCTCATTCTTCGCCCTGAAATATGGCTGACATGGGATGTAGTGACACTCTCAGCCAATGCCCTTGCGATCTGAGCAAGTGGCCAAGATGTAGAAAGTCCAATTTCAGTTTTCTCCTCCACTTGAGGGAGGTTCAAACTGGCACCGTCCACTGCCCTACCAGCCAGGAAACCTTAGAGGCTAGGAACTCACAGTAGACCTGGGCAGATGATGCAGATTTAAGCTGGAAGCAGGCAGGTGGGGAAAGTTAATTCTGAGTTTTCCATATACAGTAGACGGCCTTAAATGCTACGCCACACATAAAAGAATGTGACCATCTTATCACCCTCATTTTTCTTCAGTTTTGAACAGACATTTAACTGATCTTGTTGTATGCGTTAATGTTTAAAGCATATGCTGCAAGATGTCCCTTGGAACAATAAATGCAGCTTGGTGGAGGACTCGTGAGGCAGAGACAAAAGGTGCTGAGCTATTCTCAAGACAGACCAGAGCACATGCCCACACGGGGCCTTGGGGAAACTCCCTGATGACAATAGATGCCTGCAGGCTAATACAGTGGATTTTAAGGACTGTGCTCCCTGGCTTAGATACCTGAACTCTCCCTACATCCCAGTGTCAGCACCTTAAAGCTTTTGGGTACTGCTTCTCAAGCAATTCCTAACAGATCTTAGAGATCAAAACCCAGTGTTCCGAGTGCCAACTTCCATCCTTTTCTACTTGACAAAACTAGTCCACTTCTATAAATCTGCATTCATATTATTTCCCTAATGAAAAAAGGTTGATCAGAAATCACCTTGGTTTCCAGCAGCTTTTAGCAGCAGTCAGTCTTAGCTGATCAGATATTATTTGCTGTGCAGTAAGAATATACCAAACTTTGAAAAACAATGTCAGGCAACAGAATTCAACTGGTGTTCAAAGAGCTGAGTCAGGAGGGATGCTTTGTGGGTAAAGCACTGTCTGCAAACTGAGTCTTTCCTAATTCTGCCTTAGAACATGCTTTTAAACCTCAGGGAGGCTATCAGTTCCTCTTTCTCAGACCATTTCTCCATCTGATAAATGGAGATAAATATAATCTCTCTTATAGCACACTTTGAGAACTACATAATAGTAAGATTATGGGGTAATCAGCACCTCATAGTAGAGGAGACACTCCTTCAAAACACTGGCAAAAAAACCCACTGCCTTTCAATTTTAAAAGAAAACAAAACCAGGTAATTAGCAAAGAGAGTAGCTGCCAGCCAGGCATCATGTTTTCTCAGTCACAGTTTTATGTAACCATCATGAAATCTGTTGGTCCAATTCCCTGTTCTCTTAATTTCCAAAAGGAGAGCAGACACCATTGTTTGCTCTCTTGGGCATCATACCACAGAAGAGCTAATGCTGACTGCTCAGGGTCAACAGTAGAACATACTACAAAGTCCAAAGCATCCCTGAGCCCTTGAACATTTCTTTTTTCTCATATCAAAATATGAAAACCAGAAATCCTTTACCTCAGAAAAGAAAAAAAAAGTCACTAGATGGGGAAAACACAAAACAGAAAAATGTTCTTGTTTTATAATTAGAAGGTAAAATCTTAGAGAAACATGTTGCAAGAGCACCTGTCAATATGATGCAGCCTTCTCCCTCATGGACATTATTCACATCATCTAATGAGAACAGACAACACGGACGGCTAGGCCAGCATGCTGGTAGCCAACATGTGTTTGATGTGCACGTGGCATTGCGAAAGTTAAGGTGAGAAAGACCAAAGGGAAGTTTTCCTTTCACAGTACTCACCCATTTTAAACTAGAAACTCCTTTGCAGTATTTATATCATGTGGGAAGGAAACAAAATAGAAACTGGAAACAACTTTAAGATTATAGCACCCATAATGTTAGCTGCATAATCGAATGGCAAAACTAACTCATTTATTACATCAGTATTTCTTTCTTAGTGTCATAAATTAAGCATATTTTTTGGCAGTTCTCCCTTGCCAGGAACAATTCTTTTATTCATGAACCCACTCATTTTAAGGACTGAGTCTTTAGAGCCCATTAGGAAAACATCATCAACACATTTTGTTTTTTTAATGCAAGGAAAGAAACGTTAAGCAAGCTGCCGTTCCCATTTTTCAAAATAAATCTGTTCTTCTCTCACACAGTTATATACCAGTACATAAAACATTGATTTCTGCAGAGTTACTTCTGATTTACATGGCTGTGGAAGCAGAGTCACAAACCCATAGCATACGTAAAGATATTTCTGTACTGCCTCCTTATGTTGCTGAGTCGGCATGCATCTAACCTAAGACAGCAGAGGAATTTAAAGTGCTATTATGCTGCAAAGGGAAAACGTGCCTTGCTTCCCAGGCTAAGGATTATTATTCATACTGCCACAGTGCCCTGAGAGCAAGACCCTATGTGCTAGCTGCTGTACATATCTCAAGACAGAACATTTTCTGAATATTTACCACCTAAACAGATAACAGCAAAACTAGAGCTAGGAAGTTGCAACAGAAACTCCACCAAGGCTGCCTCAAGGTCTCCCTGAGCACCTGTGACAGGCCTAAGTGCAGCTCAGGGCCACAGCATCATGTTTCCTCTCCACTTAGACTCCCTCTGAACAGGACAGTGCTTTCTGCTACAACTTGGTATTGGTCTTCTGAACCACAACACGGATACAGCCTTAATATTTAGTATGATACATTAAAGCATCTCATACTTTAATCTTTTCACACATTTGTGGGGAAATGACCTGAATGAAAAAAAAAAAATTCTTTACCTTTGGAAGTGCATACACACTGATACTTGCTGGTATTTTAGTGGTCTCCTTTTGATGACAAATGGGGAAGCGTGGTGGAAATCAAAGACACACATCCTATTATTTGAAGGTGTGTGTCAAAAAAAAAAAAAAAAAGATGATTTGACAATCTTTGTCTATGTAAACAGCTTTCCTGTAGACAGGAAGTACTCCTCTGCTAGTCCTTGGGTCAAACAGATTCACTGAGGCATTGCAAGTTATCAGATACTTTTTAAGAGCAATTTTCTAGGTATTCATGAAGTTCCTGCATAAAAACACACACTCTCTGCTTGGTTAGGCACATTATTAAAACATCTAGCTCCAGTACTTCAGTCAGTTATTGACTTTACACCAACCAAATTTATTACCACTATTTGTTCATGACTTACATGTCTTTACCAAAAAACCCAAGTATGAATAATTCAGTTCTCATTTCACACCAACAGTACATTAATTTATTCATCAATTAGTCACAGATGAAAAGCAGAAGAAAAATATTCCCTAGCACTCCCACTGCCAGATTTCAATCTGAAAATAAAACAGTTCTCAGACATCTCAGAGGCTACATATTTTAACAGATGCCATCACTTTTGCCTTAGCAAAGGTGGCACTTGAATTCATACTATCCTCAAACATACTAGCACAACCCAAACTTCATATTTCTACCTCCCGTAGTACAACGGAGAGATATCTATGCAGGCAGAGTCTGGTTTGTCTTGCATAAAGCTAGAAACAAAGTGAGTGTGGAAATGCCAGCTGGCTTAGTACTTGCACCAAGAACACAGGATGTTTAAAAACAGACCTTTCCTTCAAGTTTAACAAGTATGTAGCATCAGGGCACTGGCTACCTATTCTCTATTGCATTCTTTTTGTAGGACAGATTTTTCATGGATCAATGGCTGTATCAAACACAAATATGTTAATTAGGAGGTAATACACTCCACTCTGTGAGCTGTTGGACTTGGGGGTCTGTGTCCAGCCGGACATCTGACCAGCTATAGGCTCCAGTCCTTTGCTTATCTTGGATGATGGACTGCAGCTCTTCAGTGGCAGAGAGGTTTCTCTGGGTATATTCTGTGCAGTGCCCAGAGCAACAAATGTCCATTTTTCACTGGAATCTCAAAGTACCAGTGTCACACAAATAACAAACCAGAATTTAAGCTGGGAATAGTCTACTAAACCATGAATTCTATGTACTGGTTTGTATCTCAGAGACTGCCTTTCCTAACACAGTTAACTGATGCATAAAACAATCTAGCTTTGTGTCCCATAACATATTAAAGAAAAAAAAAAGTCAAACATGAAGAGTTTGCAGCTGATTCACCGATATCCCTCCACACCAAAGCAGGTCTGACTTTTTCCACATCTGATGCAAGCTGCTCAAGAGACAAGTGTGCCATACAAGGAGGAGACACCCAGCAAAGTTAGTGAAAAAGTTCAGCAGACATTGCTGCCTAGTTCTTTTTCCTGGTTTGCTGCCCAATTTGGGCCAAAGAATATTTTTTCATTATCTCCTGCCTGATTTATGTTTACCTATATGTACAACAGAAACCTATGTTACCCTTTTGTAATTAGGCACTGTGCAGCCACCTGCCAGACTGTCTGTGTTCCAGCAACTCAGCATGTGCTTGTATAGCCAAGGTACAGAAATCACTGGAATGCTGCACAGGGTGACAAACTGCAGTAAATATCTTACAGGGAGGCAGTCTGCTTACTTACATCCAGGGTATAAAACTCTACATGCAACTCAAAAAACAATACCTAGTGGCAGAGAAGAGGAGACAAACAGATGGGCAACGTTCCTCTTCCTTGGTATTTTCTAGACTTGTTTTCTACCTTATTTTATCTAGGATATAACATTTTGAAAAAACGTATTTTTCAGTCTGTGGGCACTGTAAATGTATCATCAGTCTGTGAGGGTCTTTACATCCATATCTTATAAATAATAAACAGTGAAGCCAAATACAATTTTTCAAACTGATCTTTGATATGGAAGTGCTTAACTTGAAGAGCATTACAGAGGTCTTATTTTCAGCATACGGGGGGGTGGGGGGTGGGGTGGCGGTGTACATAGAAATCAGGCCCTCTGATAAGCATGTTCAAAAAGCCCCAGAAATCACCAGTTGTCTGTCCTGAAAGCAGGCTTGCATAGTACAGTCACCAAGGCATTACTGAAACATCAGTGAGACCACTTGTCTGTTTAACTAGGCATTTTCTGATCTGGAGCAAGAGCCAGAACTGTAGAAACCCCCCTCACTCCCACTGAAATCAATGACTCCAGAAGACATCACAAGGATTTGAGCACCTGAACAACATTAAAGCTTTGGCC